AATTCCCCAGCCAGCCATGCTGGCTGGGGGATTCTGGGAGTTGAAGTCCACTCATCTTAAAGTGGTCAAGTTTGGACAACACTGCATTAAAAAGAATAATGCCCTGGCATAAAAGGCAATAATCTTGGCATTGGTCTCGGGGAAAAACAGGGCAAAATTCAAATAGCAACTGGATGACTGTAGATTATACAAAATGACTAGTGAGGTGGCTCCATTATTAACATCCCTTCATCTACTATTCTCTGTTTTAGCTTTGATTTTTATAGCTTTTCACTGTTTTTTAATAACAGTTAGTAAGAATGGTTTTTAGGTATTTATTAATTGTTTCAGCTTGTTGCACGCCACCCAAACGTCACTTGTTCTGTGAGATGGGCGGTTATATAAATTAGACAAATAAAGAACATAAAATAAAATAAAATCATGTCAAACCTTCAAGTTTCCAGAACTCAAAAAAAATCAATGGATGCTTCCTTTCTAGAGCTTGAAATGTAGGAGAGAGACAGGGAGAAAAGGAGAAATTTCAAATTGCGCCTAAAATTCAGAGGCTGGCCCCCACTTCAGAATGGAAAAAAGACCTTTTTGAATTTGAGAACAGGCCAGGATGTTCTTGTTTGGAAAGGAAGCGTGTAAGAAATGAGAAGAAGCATTGGCATTTGCAGATCAATTAAAACCAATTGTTATATCGTCAGGGCAGCATTTAGACTGATGAAGCTTGTTCCCTCCCCTTTAAAAGAATCCATAAGAAATATTTGCAACCATTTATATTCACAACAATAATTCCCAGTGTATAAAACGTCAGCACACATCTACTCCTAGAATTTGCAAAGCTTTTAAGAAGCCACTTCAGTTCTTTCACATGTAAATTTCCCTACTACAAGCTTTTTTTTAAAACGAGGGTCCCACTCTCTGTACCTCTCTGTACCTCTTCTTTTCAAACTCTTTTGCCCACCCCTAGTTTTTTGATCGGGGAATGATAAATGCTAACGAGACTTTCTTAGGTAATAATTTCCATGCCGCTGGAAGGCCTGTTCAATCCCCGGCATCCACGCAAAATTGGGATCTGCAAAACTTTTGAAGGTCAAAACCTGCAGAGCCAGAATATCTGCCCCTCCTTCGGAAAAAAAAACTCTGACATCTCCAGAAATGGTCTGTCTCAGAAAAGAAACTGTCGAAACGGAGATCAGGATGGTCCATCTGAGACTGGAAGGTTTCCAGCAAGGTCAGAGCAGTTTGATGATCCAGACCAGTGTTTCTCAACCTTGGCAACTTTGTGATTCCTGGACTTCAAATCCCAAGGATCCCCCCCCCCAAAAGCTGTTTGGGGGAGGTCTGGTGTGTATGTCTCAATACT